GGGTGTGGCTCAGTGGTAGGGTGCCTTCTAGCAGGCCTAGGGCTCAAGCCCCAGAACCCCCCCCCCCAAAAAAAAAGGCAGTAAGTGACACTCCCATGTGGAAGAGGTCCTCTTTATTCTAGAAATCATTGTCATCAAGGATAGAAAGTTGAGGTCAAGGGAGAAGGATACAAACCTTCATCTTTCTAGTCACTTCTCCACCCAACTAACTGCCCAAGCCCCTCTGCCTTGCCCCATTCATCATTTACTACTCTTCGTCCAGTTCAGGCAGCGTTCAGCTCTCGGCCTTTGGCCTCCATTTCCTGGTGCAAGTTAAACTTGTGTTCCTTTGTGTTTTCTCCTGTCAATCTGTCGTACTTCAGTTTAATTCTCAGGCCCAACCCACAAACCCCATGAGAGTCGAGGTGCACTTTTTTCCTCCCCTGCAGCTGTAAATCACAATGACAACACCAACAGTAATCCTCACGACAAGTGTCACAAGCACATTTTGAGCCAGGAACTGCTCTAGGCTCTTCCCGCCCAGCCATCCATCATCGCCCAGCCATCCATCATCGCCAACCTTACAACAGCCTTGAAGGAAGGGAACTGTCTCTGCTTTCAACAGGGAGGAAATTGAGACTCACAGGGTGAGTAGCTTGGGTCACCCAACTAGTAGGTGGCCCTGGCCCCTCCCAGAGGCATGGCTATGGCAGCTCTCCGGGATCCTAAACACCCCTCTCTACTGCCCTGAGGAAGCAGGGAGCAGAAGCTGCTGTGCAGGCTGGATGTGAAATGGGAGCCCCCACCAAGAGGAAGAGGCAGGGCCACCTGGCTCTGGGGGACACAGTGGCCTAGGACTGCTGCCCCCAGCTCCCTCAGTGACTACTCAGCAGGGTGCAGGTAGCCAGGCTGGTCCTGTGATTCTGAAACAGGCCTGAGCAGTGGACTCACTAGAGACCTTTGAAAAATACAGATTCCTGGGTCTAGGGATTTGGATTCTACAGATGCAGGGCAGGGGGCAGGCAGGAATGGGCATTTTATGGAGCCTGAGTGGTTCTGATGCATAGACAAGTTTGAGGATCCAAGGCTCGTCCCACCCCTTCACTAGTCAGGAAACTCGGAACTCAGAAGAAGGGAGTATCCCAGCTAATCATGCAGATGGGAAGTGACAGAGTGGAGATTTGGATCTAGGTGAACCTACTGTCAACCTTATCCTGACGCTCTTGGGAGGAGAATGGAAACTTAAACAATGACCATATCCCTGGAGGTGGAACAAATATGCCTGAGACTAGGACTGATAGAAAAAGTCACAGACAACAGATAACACTCAACTATATAAATATGGTTAACATTGTAGAAAACTCACTTCCGAAAAGGAACAATCCATGAAAGATAAAAGAGAAGCTTATCAGAAGCACTATATGCAGCAAGGAAGACAAGGAGTTAATATATTTGTAACATCTACCTATCAATTAATGAATCTATCTAGACAGTCCATTTGACTTGATCAGGAAATCATCAAGCGGGCAGTGCGGTGGCACACGCCTGTATCTAGAGGCTCTGGAGGCTGAAGCAGGAGGATCGCAAATTCAAAGCCAGACTTAGCAACTTGTATCAAAAATAAAAGGACCAGGGATGTGGGTCAGTGGTTAAGTGTCCCCGGGCTCAATCCCTCATACTAAAAAAAAAAAAAAAAGAAGAAGAAAGAAAAGAAAAGAAAAAAAGAAAGCAGGCTCTAACTGGCTAAATAAACAAAGAGCTTAAATGTGTACACAACACAATAATTACTAAACAAATATCTAATGGAAGCCAATCACAGTGGCACAGGCCTGAAATTCCGGCAATTTAGGAGGCGGAGAGGCAAGAAGATCACTACTTCAAAGCCAGCCTCAGCAATTTAGCAAGACCCTGTCTCAAAATGAAAAATAAAAATAAAATAAATTAAAAGGGTTGGGGATGTAGCTCAGTGATAAAGCACCTCTAGGTTCCATCTCCAGAGGGTATGTAAGCTGGTTGATAAACCTTTAAAATGTAAATTAAAACAAGGTACCTTTAACATGTTAGACCATTTTTATATATGTATAGATAATTTAAATATTTAAATTTATAGAAAAGGATTAAGAAGGATTTATATGATGGCAGAGTTATCTAATTGCCTGTGAATATCCATTCTCCCTCCCCCTGCTTTTTAAATATTATTTTATTTTTGCAATGATCAAACTCAGGGTTTCCTGAATGCTAGGCAAGCATTCTACCACTCAGTCACATCCCTAGCTCCACCCGCTTTTTGATTAACCAAGCTCCTATGTAATGGAGCAGTGTGGGTAGTAAAGCAGCAATTCTATCAATTTTAAAACTACATTTCCCAGAGGCCCTTGTGGCTAAAGGTGGCCAATTAGAAGCAAGCTGATGTCATGGAGGAGACAGACTTTAGGGAAAGCTAAATCAGATGAATCAAGGAGCTGATTCATCTGAGAGCAAACATACTGTTGCCCCTCCAGGCTTTCTCTTTCTTGTTACCTGGAATGCAGACATGATGGCTGGAACTTCAGGGACCATAGCAGACCATATGGAGACCTTAGGTATGGAAGCCACAAACTGAGAATGCAGAGCAAAAAGTTAAACGCTGTTTTTTCTCAAGACAACGACCTTGGGCGCACCATACTAACCTCTTTTATATCTAATGGAAAAATAAATCCCTATCTTGTGAGGAAAAATAAATCCCTATCTTGTTAAAGCCTGCTAGTTTGGTTTTCCATTATATGCAGTTGAACCTCAACTGATACATCAAACCCCTGTGGAAATGTAAAGGGGACTTTCACACTTTATTTTTTTATAAGATGATACATTCACATGTATTATTTTGTATAAGCCCGGTTTGGAGACCCAGAAAACCCCCTTGAGTTCTTGAGTGCCAGCCCCATCACTTCCTAACCATGTGACCTTGGGCAGACAGTTCTTTAAGCCTATTTCTTCATCTGTAAAATGGGCATGATAAAAATAGAACGTCTTTCATTGGGTTCTGGTGGAACTTAAATGAGCTAATGCAGATAAAATTCTTGACACAGTGCCTGGTTTACAGCTGTTATTGAACTACATACTATGCTACTACCTAGGCGTGGGTGGTGGCAGAACCAATTAGAAAAACCTAGGACATGTTGTTGAGTAAAAAAAACAGATTGCAAAATTGGCACCTGAGTATGATCCCTCTTGTGAAGAATTATTTTTATTTCTCCATCTATATCTATGCATCAAGAGATATCTGGAGGGATGGTTGTCCAAATGTTGTAGTGGTTATTTTCCTAGTATAATTTTTGCTTTCTTCTATATGGTTGACGGAGAAAGCATGCATTTTTTTTCCCCTTATTTGGGGGGCGGGGGTTGGGCAGGAAAATAAATAAGAGAAAACCCTTTGGAAAAGAATATAACAATTCATGCTAGGAATCATTAAAGCACTCAGACACTTTAACCCAGCGATCTCTCTCTGGGGCACTGACCTGAGGAAATAATCCAAATAAAGGAAGAAGCGATATCCATAAAAACATGCAGTGCAGCATTATTCATAATAGGCAAAATCGAGTAACCATGTAAGTGACTTCCATTAGGGTAATGATTATTAAATTATTCACTCATCGGAACGTTGTGCACCAATTAAAATGGGAAAGAAGATGACCACGGAGCAATGTGGAAAACTGCTTACGAAAAATGAGAAGTGAAAGGGGCAAAATGTAAAACTAGACCTGTGCCTGGGTGCTCAGCAAAACATGGTGTGCTTCTGGACAAGGACAGAAGGAAACAGGCAGATAAAAACCGCAACGGCTGGGGCCGCTTATCGTGGGTGAGGTTTTTTTTTTTTTTTTTTTTCCTTTTTCATCTACAATGCTGTTTCTTTCGTGCTGTTTGCCTAAGAATAAATTTAAAAGTTAGTTTTAATATTTCCCTCAGGGAAAAGAAGAGAAGGCAGGGAGAGGAAGATAGAAGGGAGCTCTGGGACTCTCTGAAAGGGTTTCTGGCTAAGAAAAATTCAGAGGTCATTTATAACACTGGGCAAGTGGCACCAGCTCAGCCTTCTACCTGGAAGGTTCCAAAGGCTGCATCCCCTTTGCTCTCTGACTTTACGGTAAGCAAATGGACCAAAATAGTTGCCAAAGTTAGGGAGGCAGTGTGTTAGCGGACACTGAAGCCACGTTTAAGAATGCTCTTCAGGCCAGGTGCAATGGCACACACCTGCCATCCCAGTGGCTGGGGAGGCTGAGGGAGGAGGATTGTGAGTTCAAAGCCAGCCTCAGCAAAAGTGAGGCTCTAAGCAAGTCAGTGAGACCCTGTCTCTAAATAAAATACAAAATAGGGGTGGGGATGTGGCTCAGTGGTTGAGTGCCCCTGAGTTCAATCCCCAGTACCTTCACCTCACCACCCCCCACCCCACAGCAAAAAAATCAAGAATGCTCTTCAGGCACTGGGAATACAACTCAGAGATAGAGCACTTGCTTTGCATGTGAGTTTAATCTCCACCATCATAAAAAATATGTATATATCAGATTGTGGATCTTTTGGCAAAACTGATCGTGATTGCTATCGATGAGGCTGTAAAGAAATGAGCAGCAGTGAGCTGGCGAGAGCACAAGCAGGCCTTCTGGGGGACGGTGTGGCAAGGTGGACCCAAACAAAGGATGCGCACACCCTTAGAGTCAGCACTTCTGCCTCTTGGATTTATCCTGAACCTAAGGAAATGATCCAACAAATACATCAAACTATTTATTTAAGATGATCACTGCACAGTTTATAATAATAAAAAATGAGACCCCATATCTTAGAAAAGGAATTGTAAAACTAGATTTTTTTGGCATCACCATGCAGTAGGTACACTATGGATCCATACTAAAAATAGGACACAGAAATAAAACTGAAGTAGAAAGAGGCTGGGGATACAGCTCAGTTGGTAGAGCGCTTGCCACATGCACAAGGCCCTGGGTTCAATCCCCAGGACCATTATAAAAAAAAAAAAAAAACCTGACATAGAAAGATGCCTACAAGAAGGCCCCAAAGCAAGACGTGTGTGTGTGTGTGTGTGTGTGTATATCTATATATATATATATATATCTTAATTTTGTAGGATTGAATATCTAAGTATGTTCATTTGCATAGAAGAATTTCTGCAGAGCTACACACTAGAATTTTAACAGTAGTTAATCTTTGAATGATGGAATCCTGTCACTGTATCAATTTAGTTTTAGTTATGCTGCGCTAATAAACTGAAAAATCTACTGGTTTACAACAGAAGAATGTAGAAACTAACACATGTAAATTAACAAATGTTAGAATTCTGGTTGTGTATCTTTGCAGAAATGAACATACTTAGGTATACGAGTTTACAAAAATGGGATACTATATATGTCTTGCTTTGGAGCCTTCTTGCGTTATCTAATAAATTAACAAATGTTCATTTCCCTCTCCATCTCATGTCTATTGTGGCTGGTTGCTCCTCTGCCCATTTTCTTCACTCTGGAACCCAGGTTGATAAAACTGTCTCTGATAAAACTGAACACTGCAGGTCACTGTGACAGAAGCATAAGATAGATGGTGGACCACCCACCAGCTTTGACAACCAGGGCTGAGCTAGTCTCATGGCCCTTTCTGGGTTCAAAAAGGCAGGTGCAGGTCACAGTGGCACATGCCTGTGATCCCAGTAGTTCCAGAGGCTGAGGCAGGAGGATGAGGAATTCAAAGCCAGCCTCAGCAACTCCTCTTCCTTAAATTAGGCCAAATCCTAAACCCTTTCTGGTTTCTCTGCCTCAGGGAAAATATTTTTTTTCAGAAAAAAAATGTGTATTTTTGTTGTTGTTGTTGTTGTTGTTTGTTTAAAAAGGACTGGAGATGTGGCTCAGTGATTAAGTGCCCCTAGGTTCAATTTCTGTTTCCAAAATAATGATAATGATGATGATGATGATGATGGTGCAGGAATTTTATGATCCTCCCATAGGCCTCAGGAAGGGCACTCTGAGGAGGGTAGCAAACATTTTGAACAATAATGCAATCTACCACCTAAGTTATTTCATCTGATTACTTGACCTTCTTTTCTCTGCAGAATTAGGTAGGGAGAGAATGCAGGTCTAGTCACAGAGGTAGGGCCTGGGTAGTGTGGGGTCTTATTGTTAGAGCTGCTCGAGGAGGGGGAGTACAGTGGCTACTGTATCCACGGGTTCTGCATCTCAGCTCTGACCAACTGACAATGCAAAATATTGGGGGAAATATTTTTTTCGAATCTGACCAAATGTGCAGACTTTCGTTTCTTATTATTCCCTGACCAATACGAACAACCATTTATATGGCATTTCTACTGTATTAAGTATTATAAATAATTTAGAGATGATTAAAAATATACAGGAGGATATGCATAGGTTATATGCAAATACCACTCCATTTGACATAAGGGACTTGAGCATTCTCAGATTTTGGCATCTGAGAGGGTCCTAGAACCAATGCCCCTACAGATACCAAGGCATAACTGTTTGGACATTGAGCCCAAGCTACCAGTACCAGGCAGAGATGGCAGCTTCAAACATGAGACAAAGAAACCAGAAAGAGGTTAGGATTTGGCCTAATTTAAAAGGCATGCCAGCCAGGTGTGGTGGTGTACACCTGTAATCCCAACTGCTTGGGAGGCTAAGGCAGGAGGATTGCAAGTTCAAGGCCAATCTGGGCAACTTCAGGCACACGGAATTACCAGAATGCTTGCCTAGCATGTGCAAGCCCCTGGGTTTAATCCCCAGAACAGGAAAGAAGGAAGGAAAAAAAGAGTTTTTAGGATTAATTAAATGGATGGATGGCCGAATTGACCTGGACCCATAGTAAGTATAAAATGATGGTGAAGCAGAAAGTTCTGAATTTAACAGAAAGTTCTGGATGTCCAGAAGTATTAAACCAGGTCTGCAACTTACTCCAGAATAATGTTTTGGTCAATGATGGACTTCGTATATAGTGGTAGTCCCTAGGCCACATCCTAGTTTTCTTAGTTTGTGAAAGTAGATTCTCAGTGTTCACAAAACAATGAACCATCGAACAGTGCCCTTCTCAGAACACATCCCCATGGGTAAGTGACACATGACTGCATTTTCCAGACTTGAGTCAAGTTAGAAAACTTCTTTGAATGTTCCTGCCTGTAAAATGGAAATTGAAACAGCTGTCCTGCCTACATCACACTCCCTGGGGGAGGGGGTGGGGCTCACGTGGAGGCTTTAAAATTGTCAGTGCTCTCCTTTGCAGGTGGAACGCTTGGTCCTTCAAGCTGTACCCACAGTACATGTGACTACATGTACCGCTTGTCTCCAACTTCTCTCATCACCTTATTACCAAAGCAGGCGGTTTACCCCTTTTACTTCTTTTTTTTTTTTTTAGAGAGTGAGAGAGATAGAGGTAGAGAGAGAGAATTTTTTAATATTTATTTTTTAGTATTTGGCGGACACAACATCTTTGTTTGTATGTGGTGCTGAGGATCGAACCCGGGCCGCACGCACACCAGGCGAGCGCGCTACCACTTGAGCCACATCCCCAGCCCTACCCCTTTTACTTCTGCCCACATAAGGAGGGTGAGAAGATGACAATCAGAGTCCCAATAAGGGAGGAGCAGGACCCTTTGATGGATGAGCCATGGAAGAACCAGGATGTGGAGAGAAGGACCCCACTCCCATGCATGTCTCGGAGTACCTCTTTCGTCCCAACCCCAGCCTCCCATGATGGAAGGTGGGAAACGTCACTCATCAGGGCTTCCCCAACCCAACTGGTCACTGGAGCCACTTAGGAAGCATTTAACAACTAGATTCCTGGGCGCTGCTCTCAGGAGATTCTGATTCATAAGGAGAGGGTGGGACCAGGCTGAGTCACAGAAGGTGATCTGTGCCACCCCTACCTGTTCCTGGCTTGTGCCCAGCCCTCGGAACAGGTCTCGTGAGGTGCCCAGCATGCAGTGCCCAGACATCTCAGGTGGCACGAGCCCTGGCAGCTGGGAGAAACCTGAGTGGGCCCAGGTTATCTGATGGCACACCCATGCTCACTTCTTGAATATCAAGATCAGGGGAAGGCTCAGGAAGAGGTGTCTCTGGGCAGCACAGGTCACCCTACAAGCTGTCCCAAGGCCAGGCTTTCCAGGGCAGTAGGGGCACAGGAGGTGGTAAGAAAAAAACACCTTTTCTTGCTCCCAGCCCTTCAGAACCAAGTGATGCCTCAGGCTCCCACAGCCTGCCATGGTGCCTTGACTGACAACCTGGGAAGAACCTCTTCCACATCTGTCAACATCTCCCTAAGGGCTGAGGCAGGTCTTCTTCTTCTCTGTGAGCCTGGTACAAGGCTTGGCACACAACTAGTGCCAGCTGAATATTTCATGATGAAAAAGAGAGGGAGTGATGCTTACCATGTTACCACAGGGTCAGAGAAGACCTGACATTCACACCCACTGAGTACAGGGAAAGGCATGTGCTCACCTCTGAGAGACGGGGAACCCAATCCCCCATCACCTCCTAAAGGCCAAGTCTATATGCCTCAATCTGCAGTGGAACTAAATTACCTTTAGCATCATGGTATCCTCTGACATGGTAATGAGTTAAAGTTACAGAGCTTCCTAACTGGGCATGGTGGTGCATGCCTATAATCCCAGTGGCTCAGGAGGCTGAGACAGGATGATCACAGGTTCAAGGCCAGCCTCAGCAATTTTGTCAGGCCCTAAGCAATTTGGTGAGATCCTGTCTCAAAACATAAAAGGGCTAGTGATATAGCTAAGTAGTAAATTATCCCTGGATTAAATCCCTAGTCTCCCCCCAATCCCCCCAAAAGTTATGTGGCTTCTTGCCAGGAAAATGTACCTCCAACCCCACCAAACATAGGCACACACACTCACATCTGGTACCAATTTCCAGGTCACAAGGAGGATTAGCCCTTTGACTAAAATGGAAAGGTTTGTTTTTTTTTTTTTTTTTAATGGATAAAGAATGTAGAAAGAATGACAGTCAGAAATTAACATTTTGCAACTTCCAAATTAAGAACTGATTTGGGCAAGGATCATCAGTAGATGCCAAAATCACTGAGCAAGTGATTATTGGAGAACAGGATATTCAATTGGTCTCAAGATATCACACATCATCTGTTGTGTTATTTAATTTCAAGGAAAACTATATCTATCCATGAAGAAACAGAACATCCATCCCCTTAATTAAGTGGTCAAAATTAGCATTACTGATAGTGGGTTGGCCTAGCATTAGGGACCCTGAGTTACACAACACCGAGTATCAGTATTGCTAAAAATATTCAACCTGAATTCAATCCTTAGGAAACAATCAGACATACCCAGAATGTGGGACATTCTATGGGACAAGTGGCCTTGACTCTAAAAAACCCAATGGTTTTCTAAATGTCACATATCCATATTAAATCCCTTCCTATTTAAGATACCTGGAAAGGATCTGATTCATACAGCTGTCCAGGACCTCACAACAGGGGAAGGCCTCTCAGGGAGGCAACTGCCTACATAAAGATTTCCAAACACTGGTCATTATTTGGTACCAAAAATGTAAACAGCCAGGTGCACTGGTGCATGCCTGAAATCCCAGCAGCTTGGGAGGCTGAGGCAGGAGAATCACAAGTTCAAGTCTTAGCAACTTAGTGAGACCTTGACTCAAAATAAATAAAAAGGCCTGGGGATGTGGCTCAGTTGTTAAGCACCCCTGGGTTCAATCCCCAGTACCAAAAAAAAAGAAAAAAAAGCTGTTATGGGTGATGAACAATTCCCAGTCATGGAACATACACTGGTGAGTCTGAAAAGCTGGGTGGGATGCCAGTTCCCAGCCAAATATCCTCCCACCCACCTCATTGTAGCCACACCCCTGGGGATCCCAGGGCCAGGCAATGACTACTTGGAGCAGAGATTAGCACCTGCCAGCAGAGATGCCTGTAGTGCTGGTCCAGACCCCCAAGTCCACCTGGCATTGCCCTGGGATACAGGAACATCTTCTCATCCTCCTGGTGCAGGTGATGGGGTTGTCTGGTGCCAAGCCTCTTGGAGTCGAGGCAGGAGGGTCAGCAGTAGAGAATCCAACACAGCCAGACCCTGCCAGGAACACCGGAGACCCCTGGAAAACCAAGAAGCCTGGATGTGACGGCTTCATCTTACCAGTTTCAATGCTATCCCCACCTGTGCCAAGGCCCCAGCACCCACAGGCCCATCCTCACCAGTATCTCTCATTTCCTGGTCTCTGGGTCTGCAGTCAGGGATCTTGGGGACACCTATGTCCCCTCTGCCCACTGCCCCAACACACCTGTGGTCCAGCAGCAATAGGTCCTGCTCCAGTAATTCCTTTACTTCCTTGTTTGCTCCAAAAATGTCCCACAGGGTCAACGGGGGCTCAAATTGCTGCCAGTGCTGGGAAACCAGAGGTTAGAAGTGATGAGCCAGCTGAACTACTCTGGGTCTCATGGCAGGGATGAGAGGTGAGGGAGGATCCAGTCCAGCATGGGGGTCTCAGCAGCTGATACTCATAAACACCAGGACAGGTCAATGGGTAGGTGCAGAGGTGGGCACTATCACCTCTGTGGCTCGTTCAGGTGGAAACCCAGATCCCAGCCAAGCCAGGTCTCCATCTGCTCCTCCTCTCTCTCCTCTGCCTGCCAGGGTACAGCAGCCTCAGGTTTTATGGACTTGACGACATCTAAAGCAGTTCTGAGTTTAATCGATCATTATCTATTGTGCTTCCTATCTGAGGTTTCAGCTCTGCTTAAAAACACACGGAAACCCTTTATCTCATCTATTCCCTCACACAGCTGAGAAAATCAAGGTTCAGAGAGTGGAAAGGCAATGTGCCCTAGATTTCAGTAGAATAGGGGCCAACACTGGATCTTTCCAGCCCAAGTCCCGGGTTCTTACCGCTGTACCGCACTACCTATAGCATCTGCTCATCAGGCCTCAGCTGGACCACGGCCCAACCTCTGGCTGTCAACCCCAGAGGTATAGGAGGGGTGTGTTTTGTGGTGTTTTCTCTCTCTGTGTGTGTGTATGTACAGCGGGGAACAGGAGGAGAAAGAGGCTGACTCTGCAAGGCTTAGGAAGAGAAAACAGTACACAAAAACCTTATTCCTTACCTGGTGGGTGAGCCCCACGTCAGTGCGTAGCCCCATGGCCAAAACCTCCTCCAGCCTGAAAGAGAAGTCATTGAGGAACCTTGGAGAGGGGGCCTTTCCTCTCCCACTCTACCACTGATGCTGGGATATGTTGGGGACTATGGGGAGGGCAAGGCAGGACATAAAGAAGTACATGTGGAGATGCTTCTGGGGTGTGGGGAACTTTGGGTGAGGAGCCCTCTGCCCTTAGATGCTCACAGCTCCAGTTTGCCCAAGGGGACACGCTTCCGGGTGCCATGACCAAACAGCATCACTTCCTTCATCCAGTTGTCTGGTTCCAGTGTCTGGATCCGAGCCTCCCAGGCATGGCCTCCAGCCCCCTGAAGCGTAAATCGCCCATGGGCCCCTAACAACATCAACAATGAACCCCACATTAATGAGCTAACAATGGGTTCTTATCAGATTTACATCAGTGGTTCTCAAGTCTGGTCCCTGGACCAAGAGCTTCTAATATGCTAGAAATATAAACCCTCAGGCCTAAACCAGCCCAGATCAATCAGAATTTCTGGAGGAGTGGCCCAGCATTCTGGACTTTAACAAGCCCTGCAGAGGACTCTAACACACACTGAAGACCCAGAAACAGCAGTCAATCAAACACCTTACAATACATCCTCAACAGTTCTACACAGTAGATATTATCGTTAGCTGTACTTTACATGTGAGGAAATTCAGGCTTGGAGAGGTTAAGTAAGTGGCCCAAGTTCACACAGCCATGACATTCCTCTGCTAAGTCATCCCTTCTGTTGCTCACAGGGGACTTACCGGGCCCAATGCCAAGGTATTGACCGCACTGCCAGTAAGTCCAATTGTGGGTACTGAGCGCCCCCTGTGGGGAAGAAGGGAATAGTCAGCGCAGAGGGAGGAGGTTTTCCTGTTTGTGTTCAGGGACGGGGCACCAGGTTACATTGTCCCACTGTCTGGGGTCTGAGAGCACCCAGCAGGGCCCTTCTCCTCAGAAGCCCGAGTTACCTAGTTATACTCAGCCTGCCATTCCACACCTCCAGCCAACAGCCCCAGGACTCACGTTCCTGGCAAAGTTGGAGACCTCATACTGGCGGAAGCCAGCCTCCCGGAGCAGCGCCCGACCCTCCTGGTACATCTCAGCGGCGAGCTCTGGGTCAGGGGCAGGAAGAACACCCCGCTGCACCTGGGCGAAGAGTGCAGTGCCCCGCTCCAGGGACAGCTGGTAGAGGGAGAGATGGTCGTCACAGTGGTGCAGCAGTTCCTGCAGCTGCCTGAGCCATGGCCCCACCTGTTGTGCTGGCAGCCCCAGCATCAAGTCCACGGACACGCGGCCAGGGAAGAGGCGCCGGGCTTCTGCCAGCGTCCGCAGAGCACTGCTGGTCGAGTGTGTCCTCCCCAGCAGCTGCAGCTCAGTGTCATCTAGAGACTGGGAAGAGATAGTCAGCTGTTAGTGTGCTGGCCAGCTCAGAGAGAGACAGCAATGCCACAGACACAGCATTGTAGAAACAAATATGGGGGAAATGCAATACCTAGCAGGCAGTGGGAAGATGGGGAAGGTGGGGAACAGTCAAGTCAGTACCTAGAGCTACTACACACTGAAAGGCAATGTAATCCTTATAATCCTCCAAAATTAGCTCCATTTTCCAGATGAGAAAGTTGAGGTTCAGAAATGTTAAGTAACTTATCTTGAGGACATATAACTGCAAAGTCAGGACTGGCTCCAAAATCAAGAATCTTTTCTTCCTTTACTTTTTATTTTGAAATAACTTATAGGAAAGTTGAAAGGTACAATAAACACTTTCATCTAGACTCACCAGCAACATCTGACCAGTTACTTTGTCTCTCTCTAAATGTGCAGACAAATTATTGTTATTATTTTGAGAGCAAATCATAGATAAGCACTGCCCAGAACTTTCTGTGATGATGGAAATTTTTTGTATCTGCACTGTTCAATACAGTAGACACCAGACACATATGTTAATTTAAATAGTCACATTTCAAGTTCTCCACTAGCATGTGGCTTGTGGCTGGTGTGCTGGACAGTAGAGTTACAGGTATTATATCTCTTAATTTTTAAATCCTGAAATGTGTATTTCCTAAGGACAAGGACACTCTCTTACATAACCACAATCCAATTATGGAATTCAGGAAGTGTAACACAGATACAACACCATTACCTAATAAGTAGTCATATTCAAATTTGGCCAACTGTCCCAGTAATGTCTACTATAATAATTTCCTCCTTTACAACCAGGGGTCACCCCTGGCATTCGGCTATCATTGTCTCTTTAGCCTCCTTTAATCTAGTCCAGATTCTCAGCCTTTCATGACATTGACATTTTCAAAGAGTACAAGCCAGTTGCTTTTGAAAATGTCTCTTGGGCTGGGGCTGTGGCTCGGTGTACAGTGCTTGCCTAGCTAGCATGTGTGAAGCACTGGGTTCAATTCTCAGCACCATATATAAATAAATAAAATAAAGGTCCATTGACAACTAAAAAAAATTTTTTTAATATTCATTTCCCAGTTGTAATTGGACACAATATCTTTGTTTTACTTATTTATGTTTATGTGATGCTGAGGATCGAACCCAGGGTCTTGCACATGCTAGGCGAGCACTCTACTGCTGAGCCACAACCCCAGCCCCTAAAAAATTTTTTAAAAAACTGTCTCTTAATGTGTGAATGCTGGAGATCAGCTGTACAACAGTGTGCTTACAGTTAATAATACTATACTGGCACCCAAAATTGTTTAGGAGGGCAGATCTCACACTGCCTGTTCTTACATTAATTTTTTTTTCACAAGGAGTTGAATCCAGGGGTGCTTAACCACTAAGTCACATCTCTGCCCTTTTGATGTTTTGTTTTGAGACAGGGTCTCACTAAGTTGCTTAAGGACCTTACTAAGTTGCTGAGGCTGACCTTGAACTTGCGATCCTCTTGCCTCAGCTTCCCAGGTCCTTGGGATTCCAGGTGTGCCCTGCCACCAATCTGGCTTCTTACATTAATTCATTCTCTCTGCCCGGCCACCTCTGTGTTGAGGATGAAACCCAGGGTTTCAAGTATGCTAAGCAAATCCTTTAGCACTGAGAAGCATCCCCAGTCTTAATTTACCTGATGTTTCCTCAAAATTAGTTTCAAGATATACATTTGGGGCAGGAATGTCTCAGAATTGTGAGTCTCTTTCAGTTTATCCAATCAAGACAAAGCCCATGACCCTAGGAGAAGTGGTTCAATGGAAGTGGTAGTGTTAGTGGTAGTGTTGAAGGTGGGCAAGACTGGCTATGGAAATATTAGCAGGTGAACCTAGAACAGGCTTCTCCCTACTTGAGAACCTTCGGTGGCTCCCCGATCACCACTAGGAAGAAACCCAAACTCCTTCAGAAGTGCTGAGAGCTTTCAGACTATATGTGCAGTCCTGTCTCTATAGCCTCTGGTCACAAGGAATGATTCACAGCTCCCCCAAAACATGCAGGTCTCCTCCATATCCTATGTCTCTTCCTCCCACACCCTCTTACCTGGTGAACTCCTCCCTTTTCTCAAACATTATCTCCTTCAGGAAGCCTTCTGTGATTTCGTTAGACTAAGGTGCCCTCCAAGTGGTACTCTGAGAGCCCCCTTTATAGACATATTTCCATGCTGCAGTGATCTGACCATGTGTCTGCTTCCCCACATCTCCAATCATGTAATACCTCATTTCTGAGTACCTACTATGTTCCAGGCCCTATGGTGGTGCTTAGTGTACAAAAAGGCATGCCAGAGGCCTACCTCATGAAGCTTACATCCCAGTAGAGCAGCAGATGACTAAGTGTCATCACAAGGGCTGGGAATGTTGCTCAGAGTAGAGCACTTGCCTAGCATATTCAAAGCTCTGGGTCCAATTCCAGCACTGGGGGGAAAAGTGTCATCATGGGCTCTACTGTTATTGAGCTCTCACACCCAGAAATGTTTGCCCAATGAAAAAGTGTCATCAAAGGGGAGACAGCCCTGAAGGTCTGGATGCATTGGGAGGGGGTGGGTGAGATGGGTTACCTGGAGGCCAATGGACAACCTGTTGACTCCTGCTGCTCCAAATTCTGCCAGCCTGGAGGCTGGGGACGAAGTGGGATTAGCCTCCAGCGTGACTTCCGAGTCTGCAGGCAGGTGAGCTATCTGTGCCACAGCCTCCAGAACAGCAGCCACAGTATGGGGACTGGCTAGACTGGGGGTTCCCCCACCAAAGAACACAGACTCTACCCTGGGGAAAGATGATGGAGAAGATGACACCGGGAGAGGCCTGTGGCATGCTCTGCACCCGTCTTCCTCTCCAAGACCCCGGCTACAGTCCCCAGTACAGACCGTTGCACCCCGCTGAGCCGCAGCAGCGTCTGCACCTCAGTGACCAGACAGTTCCGCATGGCAGCCTCCTCCACACCGCGAGGGATGTATTTATTGAAGTTACAGTAACTGCATCGCTTCTCACAATATGGCCACTGCGGGCAGAGGGTGTATGTGCAGGGTGAGGCGTGACTCTGGGCACCCTGGGCGCTTCCTGGGTTCATAGCAAACATTTCCATCCTCATTCCGAGGTCGGTCAACAGTGGCTAGGACATCTAAACCACCACTCCCAAAGCAGGTCGCCCTGGGATTATTATCCCCACTTTAGCATGAGAAAACTTAGGCTTGGAAGGTCACAGAGCTGGTGACTACCCTGACCTTGACATTTCCCTGCCAGGGCACCAGGACCTATCGGAGACCTCGTCTGGGGGCGGGGAAAGACAGCAGGCAGGTCCACCGCGTGACAAACGCCACCTGGGTTCTGGTACGCCAGAACTCTGCCCTCCCGCCGGCCACTCACGTGCACGTAAACCGCCGCGCGCCTGCTCGCGGGCTCAGGACTTGGGGACCCTCCCCCACTGTCCACGCGGCGGCGCCTCTGGGCCGCTTTGGCTGCTGCCACCAAGCCGCGGGCCCGGGCAGCGGGGAGAACCATGGCGCACAGCGCAGTGGGGACTGGGATCGTGCCCAGGGCGCACGGGTGTACGCAGAGCAGGGTCGCATGTGCTGCCCAGGCGGAAGGAAGAGAGGCTGCGTGACCTCGCGCTGCCTCGGAAGGCCTTGGATCTGCGGCGCCACCTGCCGGACACCGATGCGCTCATCGCAGCCTCCTGTTCTTCCTCTCCCAAGAACGCGGGGCGCGTCTTTTGGTACCCTATACCAGGGCAAGTTCCCTGACCCATCCAGGAGCTTAGTTTGTCCCATCACTTCCTTCACATTTCATGTTCCTGTCTCAGAGCTGGGCGCTGAGGACATCTAGGTGCAGAAGATCGGGAGAAGTCAACGAACAGGTGAAGACAGGCAGCACAATTAATGCAATGCCTGCTGGACGCCAGGCCAGTGTGTTCAGTGCAGGGAGGGCCTCTGTTATAAGAGCCATGGAGTCTCTGAGGGAGGAGAGGACACTTGGGCTGGATCTTGAAGGAGCAGAAAGTCCCGGAGGGATTGGCTTGCCATGAGAGTATACTGTAATCTCTAGGTCAGGCCAACCCAGGACAGTCAGAGATGGTGTGTGCAGGAGAGAGTGAACAGGTGATAGCTTGCAATTCTCAAGAATAACTGTGGAATGTGCTGGAGGTACAACTACTGAGATAAGGAGGAACTGGTCAGAACAGCTCAGGCTCTGTTCTAGTACCTCTTGTCCTCTTCCCCTCACCCTAAAGAAGACTTCTTTCTTTTTCTTTTTTCTTTTTTTTAATATTTTTTTATTTTTTGGCAGACACAACATCTTTGTTTGTATGTGGTGCTGAGGATCGAACCTGGGCCACACGCATGCCAGGCGAGCGCGCTACCGCTTGAGCCACATCCCCAGCCCAAGACTTCTTTCAATGCTTTAGTCCAATATGGCACATGGTCACCAAGGGGAGGCTGGTTTCCAGGGCCCTTCAAGTCCAGTGCAAGCAGGGCACACACAGATGAGACTCTACTCACACCAGGAAACTTTTCTGAGCCTTGGGGCAACTGGCTTGAAATGAATCCAAGGCTTCTGTTGACCCTTGTTGCCTATCTATAAGTAATACACCCACTTCATGTAGTGTGTGTGTGTGTGTGTGTGTGTGTGTTTTGTCTCATGGAACTTGGACAAGTTAGTGGCCAGTGCACAGTGAATCTGCTTCTGGGTTCTAGCAGGGTGCTGTGGCACACACCTGTAATCCCAGTGGCTCAGGAGGCTAAGGATCAAGAGTTCAAATCCTATACCAAAAGCGAGGCATTAAGCAACACAGTGAGACTCTGTCTCTAAAGAAAATACAAAAAAAAAAAGGGGGGGGTGTGCTGGGGATGTGTCTCAGTGGCCAAGTACCCTGAGTTCAACCCCTGGTACCTCCCCCAAAAAGATAGCTGGCTCCTAATCCCAGCTGTGTGGCCCTGAGCAAGACACTGAACCTCTTTGAGTTTCAGTGACAGTGTTTGTGAATTGGGCCAATGCCTATGTGATAAAGTCATTGGCAAGATTTCAAAAGAAAATGTACATGAAAACATCTAGTGTAGTGCCTGGCACTCAGAGGATCCTAAATATATAATCATTTCTTAAAAAGTAAGACAGCTGCAATTGCTGCTGCTGGAGACAGACATCCCAGGAGGTGAGGGCTGCAGGCGGGAGAAAAGTTTGTCTCTGAACTGGGAACTGAAATGGAGGGAAAACAATAAATTCTATAGCTTCACTTGCTTTTCATTACACGATTTTAGTTGACTTTTCAAATCACTAATTTTGGAGGTTGCAGTGGAGTGATATATTATTAGTCTCCCACCAGTTCTGCACTAGATAACACCCCTGACATGGGGGTCATGATTATAAACAGTTGCCCAGGTTACTTTTCAGGGACCCGAAGGCTATTGATTGAAAAACAATGATTCATCACTTGGGCCTATGCAAGTATCCAATTGGTGACATTTTGACATCAAGGGGCCAAAAACTCCACCCTCAGATGGTGCTAAAGGGACCCCATTTTCTAAAAATGTGTCCTATGAAGAGCTATGAAGACTGGTTACATTGTCAGGTGTGGTGGCACACACTAGTAATCCCACCGACACGGGAGTCTGAAGCAGAAGGATCACAAGTTTGAGACTAGCCTCAGCAACTTAGCAAGAGCCTGTCTCCAAATAGAAAAAGAAAAGGGGTAGGGATGTAGCTCAGTGGTAGAACACCTCTGAGTTTAATCGTCAGCATGGGGGAGGTGAGCACACTTGGGATGTGCCAACCACTGATCACCTCCAGTCACACTGCTCTTTATCAATTGCCCTGCTTCTTTATCCCATAAATATCCCCAAGCCCTGCCCTGTGGGAGGTAGGTCTGAGACTTGGTTCTCCCATCTCCTCATGCTTTGCTGCTTCATGAATAAACTTTCTTTTGCAAAACTCATGGTGTTAGTGATTGGCAAACTGCACAGCAGGCAAAACAGGCTGGTTAAGTAACAGTACCTATGTGCCTTGTAGAAGCCAACTGTTTTTTTATTTCTTGGGTCAAATGACAGCCTCCTTTATTTTTACTGGGTTGATTGGGAAGGATGGGAGGAGTGATAGTTAAAGGGTATGGGGTTTCTTTTTGAGGTAACAACAACATTCAAAATTGACTTTGGTGGTGATGGTTACACATATCTGTGACTATATTGAAATCCACTGGTGCCAGGCATGGTGGTGCATGCCTGTAATCCCAGCGGCTTGGGGGGCTGAGACAGGAGGATCAAGAATTCAAAGCCAGCCTAAGCAAAGGCACTAAGCAGTTCAGTGAGACCCTGTCTCTAAATAAAATGCAAAATAGGGCTGAGGATGTGTCTCAGTGGTCCAGTGCCCCTGAGTTAAATCCCCAATACCACCTTGCCAAAGGAAAAAAAAAAAACCACTGGAAAAACTATATTTTAAATGGATGTTTTGGATAGTATGTGAATTATATCAATAAAGCTCTTATTTTTTTATCTTTTTTTATTAGTTGTTCAAAACATTACAAAGCTCTTGACATATCATATGCTCTTATTTTTTTTTAAAAGAATATTTATTGTTGGACTTCTCTGGCAACAATGTGAAAAATGATGGATCAGGTAAAGCTTACAAAAGAAAAAATGGAAGCCGGGTATGGTGGTGCACACCATAATCCTAGCAATTTGGGAGGCTGAGGCAGGAGGATTACAAGTTCAAGCCTGACTTAGTAATTTAGGAAGACCCTGTCTCAAAATAAAAAGGGCTGAGGATGGTTGTAAAGTATCCCTGGGTTCAATCCCCAGTACCAAAAAGAAGAAGAAGAAACAGAAAAAATGGGTTTGCAACCTCAAAGGGATGGGGTGAGGGTTAGATTAAACAGATCATCTACTTAAAAAGTAGTATTCAGAGGAATCAGTCTGAAAGTGCTGGTTTCTCTTGAGACTCCTCCTTTCTCCATCCACTGTCGTTCCAGAGAGAGTACTCCAGCCAGAGACCAGGAAACATAGAGCTCTTTATGCCAAATGACAAAGAAGACTGGGGCTTGGGGGGAGGGGCGGGAGGCAGGCCGGGTTGGACCCCTCCTCCCCTGGATTCACAGTTTCAGATGTCTTTCCATCTGCTCTCGGAGTTTGTATTTCTGGATCTAGAGGAAAAACAAAGGAGCGAGAGTCAGGTGGAGTCCCCGCCTGTTAGGGTGAGCAACCACAACCGTTTGCTTGGGACTGAGGGTTTTTTCAGTTTTTAGTGTTAAGATTGAGAAAGCCTGGGACAAATCAAGATGAGATGACAGGTTAGTCCCCCTATGCTGCCTCTCCTGCTCACCACGGAGAGAGGCATGGGTTGGGCCACCTGGAGTCCCATGACACCCTGCCCCTCCCTGGCCACCTCCACTTCACACACCTTTCCTGAGACCGTGAGGGGGTAGTCCCTGACAAAGACGATGTAGCGGGGGATCTTGAAGTGGGAGATCTGCAGAACAGAAAGATAAAGCAAGACGCTGGGCAAAGTCACAGGGCTAGGGTTGGGGCAAGAGGGCTCACTTGACTGGAGAGTCATGTCTGTAAGGGTGGGGCATTCCCCAATCCTGGATGGTTGGCAGGAACAGGTGTGTGAGGGAACACTCAGGGGTCGGGGAGATGGAGGACGCTGAGGCTCCCACCTTCCCTTTGCAGAAAGCTTTGATCTCTTCCTCAGTGGTGGTCTCCCCACTCTTTAGCCGGATGCAGGCACAAATCTCCTCCCCCATCCTGTGGTCCTTCACTCCCACCACCTTCCAAGGTCAGAGACAAATATCAGACATCATGATTTTCCTGCTTGTTTCGTGGATCACACCTGGGCTCACCTGGCCTGGGTGCCTCACCTGCACTTCCTGCACCTGTGGGTGTGTGTGGAAGAAATCCTCAAGTTCTGCTGGGTAGATGTTCTCACCGCCCCGGATGATCATGTCCTTAGAGCGACCCACGATCTTGCAGAAGCCCTGCTCGTCTATGGAGGCGATGTCTCTGTAGGTGAAGCCGAGGAATGCCCTCTATTCTCTGCTTTAACTGGCTCCCTTGCTCACTCATTCATCAAACATTTATTGAGCACCTGCTATATGTCCCCCATTGTTCTAGAAGACCCAGCAGGAATAAGACACATTCTCTGCAACTTATAGTCTAGGTAGGAAGGCAGAGAACAATAAACCAGTACAATACCTATCACATATTTTCTCTTTCTCTTTCCCTATCTGTGCACTTGCTTTTCAAGGCTGGTTTCTGTTTCATCATTCATGTCTTAGATCAAAAGTTTCCAAAGGCCTTCTCTGACCACCGGCTCTGAGGAAAGCTCCCCTCCCCATTACAGCCACCTTTTCTCCTATAGTGCACACAGCATAGAATCCCATTTAATTTTTTGATGTCCAAAATAATCTGTCATCCTCTTCCAGACAAGTGGGAAGTAAAAGCAGGGTCCTTTTTATCTTGCTCTCCACTGGGGCAACAGCAACAAGAACAATGCTGGCCCCTAGGAGGTGAGTACTAAGAATGTGCTGAGCTAACAAATGAGTGACTGAATCAATCTTGGCTCCAATTTTGGGAATATGGCTACAGCACACTGTTCTGGTGTCTTGTCTCCATGCTAGGTGTGGTTACCCACGTTGTACACATTTTGGAAGTCAAGTCTCCAGGATGAGAGGGGCCCTCTGGACACCCACATCCTCCTTGTGCTAATGTTTCCAGCTCAGTCTCAGAACCCACAGTCTCCCCTCAGTAGCCGGAATCTCTCCCCCACCCTGCCTTCTCACCCTGTTCGATACCACTTGTCCTGCCCAACTGCTTCAAAGGTCTTCTGAGGCTCTCCCCAGTATCCCTGCATGACGCAGTACCCTCGGATGCACAGCTCCCCGGGCGTGTTCAGCTCGGCCAGCTCCCCTGTATTCACGTTCACGATCCGGGCCTGGGACAGGTCAACTTCAGGCTGGGGCCACCTGCCCACTCGTTCCAGGACTGGCAGCTCTTAGGGATGGGGAAAGCTTTGCCTTCCCTTCACCCAATAATGAAGTCCCCTGGCTCTGCCCATCACAGCCCAGGGAAAGGAGAGAGGCCAGAGTAGACTCATCACCAGTCAGAGACCTGAGCTGGCATGAAAGATCAGTCAAGGCCAAGGCCAGGGGTGCTGAGGGAAGAGGAGGCAGGGAAGGAAGCTTGTGGAGGGCCAGGCCAGCTGAAGAATTATAAACTGCAGAAGGGAAGGGAGTCTCCTCTGACTTCCTGTTAAGCACCAAATAAAGAAGCCAAGGAGGGTGGTGTGGCAGTGCCATGTGATCAGGAGAGGCAGTCTGAAAGCCTACTACAAAAGGAACCACACACAGCCAGGCGCAGTGGCACATGTCTACAATCCCAGCAACTCAGGAGACTGAGGCAGGAGGATGGAAAACCCAAGACTAGCCTCAGCACCTTAGTGAGGCCCTAAGTAAATTAGCAAGACCTTGTCTCAAAAAATAAAAAGGGCTGGGGATGTGGTTCAGTGGTTAAGAGTTCCTGGGTTCAATCCCCTGTACCGAAAAAAAAAAAAAAAAGAAAGAAAAAGGAGCCACAGCCAGTGTGTCTCGGTTTGTGCATCCAAATATGGGCATAAATATGTCAGTTCCAGACTACCTTCCAGTTGGGTATCCCAGTGGGGGTGGCAGTGAGGCTGTCAGATATGGGAGGGGCTCATATTCCTGCATACTCACTTCCCATGGGACTGCTCCAGTTGGGAGGGTAGGAGAGAGGAGATGCACCTGAGGAGAGGTGAGTCCCAAGGGAAGCAGCTGCATGGAACCCCTGGCAGTAACCCCACAGGGACAGAGAAACTGGTATGGCAAAGGAGTCATGGCTGGGAATTTGAAATTGAGATGAGCTCCGGACAGTGTCTGAGGTGCAAGGGACCCCCAGAGGGATAGGCTGCTTGGGAAACCATCTACACCCAGTCAGAAGAGCAACTCCACCAAAGCGAGAGGCAAGAGTCAACGGGGGAGAAAGAGCTAGGTAGGAAATATCTCTGTGCTCTGGCCCCTCTTTGAGGCTTCCCTGGCTGCCCTGAAGCAGACAGTGGGCTTGGCAAAAACACACCTCAGACAGGAAGGGAGGCAGCTGGCAGCTGCTCAGGGCCTCTCTCCCAGCTCTTCCCCTTTCAGCCCACAGAGAGCCTTGGCCAGGCCCAGCAAAGATCCTGCTTCTAGGGGCTTTCAGCATCTTCTGTGAACTGTTGGGACCTCTAATGGAAAGCAATAAATGTCTCCGAGTGGTGGAAGTTGAGGTCTGAGGGTCTTGGTCGGGGGCTCACCTCCGTGTGAGGCATAACTCTGCCCACACTCTCTGCCTTCTGCTCCAGAGTGTCCTCAGGGAAGTTCATGAAGGTCACAGGACTATTCTCTGTAGTTCCATAAACAACCTAGAGGGTCCAGAAAGGGGGTTTGACGGGAGCTCAGCAATTACAGAGGGATGGGTGAGCTACTCAGGGCAGTTGAATAGTAGGAACTGAGACATCATTGGTTGATAGGGGCCCGGGAAGGGGGCAGAGACATTGATCTCTGCAGGGGTCCCAGATATGAAATAAAACTGAGACCTGGGAAGCCATTCTGTCCTAGCCAGGGCTCTCAGTCCTGCTTCCTTAGAGCAGTCACATGTCTGTCTGTGGCTCCTGGCATTACCAACATCCTAGACTTCTTTCCCCCATCCACATGCTGCCTTAGCCCCACCTTCCTGATTTCAGGCCACAACATCCTCTCTCCCTTCCTTCCAAACCGAAGGCCCCATAAACTTGATGAGAAAGCCAGTCCACCTTGGCCAGCTAGGAGTGGCACAGATGCAACCCACCCCCAAAACCTGGGACAAGTGCCTGACCTTGGGGTGGGTGCCCCAGAGCTCTGCAGAATTTCCTGTAAATTTACTTTCATCAAAATAAAATACAACCAGAGCAGGGATTTAAAACGCCTGTGGCACTCACAACCCCCAGCCCCACCCCTCCTCTTTCAGTGGTTGGAACATCCTGAGCATCAGAAAAATCAGAAGCCAGCCTAAATACCATCAGAGAATGTTACAGATCACCCTGTATTCTACTAGATCTTTGTCTGTGGCCCCCGATCCCCCTGTATCAGCTGGTGTGGCTCTGGCAAAGCTGGGGTCTAGTTCCTCCCCTATCCCCCAAAATGGACAATACCTCTTGCCAGGCAGCCCAGAGCTTACCTGGGACCAGAGCTATGACCTTCCTGCTCACCCTCCCCTGTCCACAGGAATCCGGACACGGTGGCTGGCAAGTGGGCACTCAGAGACCTGACCCAGCTGGGGAGGGCTGCCCACAACCTTGTGCATCTGGCAGCCTGAACTGGCCAGGGCTGATCCTGACCCCGCCTCATCCATCCTCACAGTCCTGGGGCCACTGCCCAGGCATGGCCTCTGCCAAGTACACCTCGGCGCCACTCGGCTGCCACCCTAAGACCCCTCAGGGGTGGATCCTGACCACTGGGAGATGGGGATATTTGGGGGGAGATCTAGGAGGGGGATGGTACGACTGTGTCCCGTGGCCTGTGGTCTCCGAATGTTTTGCCAGTTCTGTGGGTCACTTCCCACGCCTCCGCCCCCAAGTTCCCACTTCTCTGCTTAGCCTTCAGCCCTAGAAAAGAGGGTGGGGTGCGCGGGACAGAATCGCAAGCCTAGGACTAGAAGAGAAGAGTCAGGGAGGAGCCCAAGGATGAAGGCGCTCCTTAGGGTCGGCTCTGGAGTGTCTAGCCAGAAGGGGGAGCCCGACGCCAGAAGGGCTCTCACGCTCGGCTGGCGCAGCACAAGAGTCCCATTAAAGCGCCGCCGGCTTGCCGACCACGGCGAGACGCATCCCGCTGTCCGGCCCCGCTTCCTCTCTCCCTGGGTTCAGGGCACCCCGCCGAGTGTGCATTGGGTGGGGGAGACATGGAGGCTCAAATTTGAGCAAACAAATAAGTTCGGGGAACGCCTCCTCTCCGGTGTAAACTTGGGGCTCTAGACACACCCATGATCGCCCCCCCCCCCAAAAAAAAAAAAGCCCAGGGAAAGGAGGTAGGGGGAGAAAGGGCATCTCATCTGAGAGCAGGCAGCAAAGGTCTCAGACTGAGGGGTACGGTCTTGGCCCCCCATGCATGGTCGCCAGGTGGGGGAAGGGCCCCTGGCCCTGTCGCCATGGAGGGCGGGGGAGCATCTCTGGGCGCGAGGGAGTTAAGTCCAGTGGCCTCGATGCTCCACGTAGTAGCTGGCTCAGGCCCCCGGCTGCGGTCAGGGCCACCATATAAATAGGGCGGGAGACCCGAGCGCCCAGAACTTGCCGCTGCCCGCACCTGGCCGTCGCTGACCCTAGCCCCGGCTCCAGGCATCCTGGCCATGGCCCGCGCGATGCTCTTACTTAGCCTCGGCATTCTGGCCAGCCTTCTGCCGGCGCTGGACGCCTGCCCCCAGAACTGCCACTGCCACGGAGACCTGCAGCATGTCATCTGTGACAAAGTGGGGTTGCAGAAGATCCCCAAGGTGTCAGAGAAGACCAAGCTGCTCAACCTACAGCGCAACAACTTCCCGGTGTTGGCTGCTAACTCGTTTCGGGCCATGCCGAACCTCGTGTCGCTGCACCTGCAGCACTGCCAGATCCGCGAGGTAGCCGCGGGCGCCTTCCGCGGCCTCAAGCAGCTCATCTACCTGTACCTGTCCCACAACGACATCCGCGTGCTGCGTGCGGGCGCCTTCGACGACCTGACTGAGCTCACCTACCTCTACCTGGACCACAACAAGGTGACCGAGCTGCCCCGCGGGCTGCTGTCCCCTCTAGTCAACCTCTTTATTTTGCAGCTCAACAATAATAAGATCCGTGAGCTGCGCGCAGGCGCCTTTCAGGGCGCCAAGGACCTGCGCTGGCTCTACCTGTCAGAAAATGCGCTCAGTTCTCTGCAGCCCGGAGCTCTGGACGATGTAGAGAACCTCGCCAAGTTCCATCTGGACAAGAACCAGCTATCCAGCTACCCCTCCGCTGCCCTGAGCAAGCTGCGGGTGGTGGAGGAGCTGAAGCTGTCCCACAATCCCCTGAAGAGCATCCCAGAAAACGCCTTCCAGTCTTTCGGCAGGTACCTGGAGACCCTCTGGCTGGACAACACCAATTTGGAGAAGGTGAGTGCTTGACTGCAGAGCTCTGCCCGGCTCCTTCTTCTCCCCCTGAAGGCTGGGAGCTAGGACCACAGCCGGGCACCATCCCCTCTCCTCAAATTCCCTGTCCCTCTGGCTATCTCAAGGCAAGGAGCTCTGCCACCTCTCCCTCTTCTTGTCACATCCCCACCCTAATCCTTATCTGGCTGCCCTCCCAGGACTCCTGCATCTAAGAGGAGAGGGGCTACCCTGGCCCCAAAAATGGCCTCTTAGGAGGCCTCTGTAGTGCTCCCAAACCCCCACTGTGAGCAGTGCCCACCTCTTCCGGTTGGGCCTTCCTCCCCTCCTCTGCTGTTTTTCCCAGTCTCCAGTAAACCTACCATCCCATAAAGAAAGGTTTGTTTATTGAGAAGGCTTCCAGAGTTTCTGGGCAAATCAGGCCCACAAAGAGACCCTGTTCCTGGTGGGGGAAGGCCTGTGTGCTAAGGTGGACTGGGGAGTGAGGGGGGAGCAAATACCTGAGGAAGACCTCTACACCCCTCAGAGGTCCTGGTGGATGTGCTGCCCCCACCCCCACCAATACACACACACACACACACACGCACACTTACTCACTCACGCCATGATATTTTCAGGTTCATTCTACCTAAGTAGGGAAGTCAAGGCATGGGGACCAAAGACTCCCTAGGCTGCAGAGCCATATGAAAGAGCAAAGGCAAGCACTCCATTGTCAGCCCTTTGCACTAGACAACCCACAGGAAAGCCTGGGCTGTGTGTGCTTCACTGTCCCCCAGACTGCTGGCTGCCCTTTGCCCATTCTAGTCCCCAGACCCATCTCCTGTGTGCATTCTCACTTAGTCCTTCTTCCCCTGGGATGCCAGTCTGGCCAGATCTCTTCCTTGGGACTGGAAAATCACCCTGGGACAGAGGCTTCAGACAGGAGGTTTGGTTGGGGGCCAGGACAAGGTAGAGGACAGTCTGGTCACTAGAGAATGTCACACCTTAACCTAGGCTGTAGGAGAAGGCACAGACATGGAGAAGATGACAGAATCCACCTGGGCAGCAGCCAAACTTTGCCTGGTTGGATGGAGCCTGCCAGGGCTTGCCCTTCTGTAGCTCAGACCCCACCCCCACTGGTGGTGGGATCCTCTATGAGCCACTAGTGCCAGAGTGGCCTTTTGGTGGGCAGCAGAACAGCATATCAGGGACTGATTTGGGTTAGGGGCAGCCAGACAGGAACAGTGGCGCCTGGGGCCAAGATGTGGGCACCAATGGAACATTTCCTCTGGAGCTGTCCAACTGGCCAATGTTTTCACCAAGGTGGCTCCACAAATAGTGTCTGGCAGGCAGTGAGGATAAAGCTGGGGGAAGTCCCAGGACCCTGGGCTGTGGGCAGCCTGGGCCTGCTGCCTACCCTGCCAAACACTGACCAGGTTCACCGTGTGCCAGTCTGAGCTCCTGGGGACAAATTCTGGCTGCCTTAGCAGCCCAGTATTTGCACAGGGAGTGTGGTGCCCAGGGGAGGGGTGTGGGGTGTGGTCCTAGGGCTACTATTTACTCTCTAGTGTGACTCTGGCTAAAGGGACAGAACTTTTTTTTTCCTTTTTATCATCTGCTGGTTAGAAACAACACCTCCTATCTCAAAAGGGCCATGGGGATTAGCTCATCAAGATAACTTGATCACTCTTCTTTGAAAACTCCTCAAGGTACCAAGGCCTGTGTCCAGGGGAAGACCCTGCTCCTCTGTGGGGACAGAACTGGGAAAGGCTGGACACAGGCTAGAGCACTCATTCCGGCCCACCTCACCTCCCTAGTTCTCAGATGGTGCCTTCCTGGGTGTGACCACGCTGAAACATGTCCATTTGGAAAATAATCGCCTGAACCAGCTGCCCTCCAACTTCCCTTTTGACAACCTGGAGACCCTCACCCTCACCAACAACCCTTGGAAATGTACCTGTCAGCTTCGGGGTCTTCGGCGGTGAGAATATTCCCATGTCACCCGCAGAATCTCCCCTCATTTGGCCCCACATTTAGCTATCCTGGGTACACATTCCAGATCTGCTAGTAAGCACAGGACCCTGGGAGCCTCAATTTCCTCATTTGTAAAATGAGGATGACAGCTCCAGTCTATCCTGAGGTCAAGTCCATCCTGGCCCTATAGTTCACTGTCCCTTCCCCTCAGTATTCCCACACCTTTCCCCAACCCCAGCAACTTTCTGTTTCTCCAGATGGCTGGAAGCCAAGGCTTCTCGCCCAGATGCCACCTGTGCCTCACCCGCCAAGTTCAAGGGCCAGCACATCCGTGACACAGACGCCTTCCGCAGCTGCAAGTTCCCCACCAAGAGGTCCAAGAAAGCAGGCCGCCATTAAACAGGTGGGGGCTGGGCAGGCAGGTCCCCCTTTTTCCTCTTTGGAGATTCTAGCAAGTGAGCTGGTATCACTCATGATTCCCCCACCTCTGCAGGAGGGGAGAACTGGTGTTCCCCTCTGGGAGGAAAAGATAGTGCCCAGGACTCCCACTGTCCTCTCTTACATTGTTTATGATGTTGGAGTCCTAACACACATCCTCACCTCACCACAGGTCCTGACCCAGCCAGTCCTGGTGACTGGCCTCTGCCTTCTGCCGGAGAGACTACTGACCTTCCCACCACCACCCGCTCCTCCCCTCAGCCTCTGCTGATGCACAGAGCTGCCCACAGCGACACACGTCCTGGCAGAGGGCCCTGGGCACTGTACCACCAACCCAGCTCCACCTGACAGGGTACAGGGGAGGACCCAAAGCCCCTCTCAACCATCACGGCTGGCCCTGTTGTGGCTCCTCTCAGAGAAGCTGGTGTCAACACCCCCGAGTCCAGCAGAACCAGAGCAGGGTGATCATCAGGATGGTCACCCTCTCAGAACCATCCTTCTTCTGTTCCCTCTCTCCCTGCCATTTGGAAACAAATATCAGACCCTTAGCCCACTCCCTGCTTCCAGAAACGATCTCAAGCCCTTCCTCCAACTCTGCCAGCCCCACCTGCCAGGACGCTCTCACAGGACACCAGTGCTTGGCTGCACATCCTCCCCTGCTGCGTTTCTACCCCAGATTTCTATAAGTATAAATTTATGGATGTATAGTATTTACTCCCTGGTCACCTATCTCCATGCCTCGTCAGGTGCTGAAGAGGTCAGACTGTGTTTTCTCATTTCTGCTTTCTGGAGAGAGGGCTGGCCTAGGGGTCACCTTTGGAGATCTGGCCTCGGTTCATCCCCAGACCTGTCATTCAGTCCTCCCCCCACCCTCCCCTCACCCCCAGTGACTCTGGCTGCCACTCACCACCAGCTCCTTCATGTTCATTTTGTGGATGATGGCTCGGACCAGCTCTGGAGGTGCAGGGGACCCGGCGATCACACCTGAATCAGAGAGCGAGGCTGACACAGCTCCCCCTTCTCCCAGATCAGTGGACCCCCTTTATCTACTGCTGGTTGATCCTGGACCTTCTTTCCTTCTTTCCCTTATCCTGGGCCTATTTCCACACCTAACATCTGGCCTGCGCCTGGTGTCCAGGGACACTGGGGATTTGCCTCCCTCTCACCCATGTTTTCACAGGGCCCTTCCTGCCCCCCCTAAAGAGAAGACTGGCTCATTCAGGCCAGTCCTGGGGGAAAGCAGCCCCGTCCCCATGCCTGGCCATCCTTGGCCCTACCCCACCTCCACATAAGGATGATAAGTCGTAACTGGAGAAGTCGGCCTGGTTCATAATGTCCACGAACATCGTTGGGGTGCCATATATGAAGGAGCCTCTGTGTAAGGGGAGGGTCTTCAAATTAGGCTTGGAAATGGAAAGGAACTCCCTCTTCCCACCCCACCATGAACCTCATTAAGGGCCAAAGCCAAAGCCGTGGGGAACAAGCAGAAGCTCAAGGCAGGAATTGGTCTTCTCCTGGGAGTCCCCCACGACCCCATCCCAGGTCTCATGACTAGAAGGAGGAGACATTTTGGAAAAGGTCAGGGCTCAGGTGCAAGGACTAGGAGAATCTCATCAGCCCGTGGGTAGCCTGTCTACCAGTGCCCACTTCTCTCTGGTGATGGCCTCCAGCGCCTTCTTGCCATTGAAGCTCGGAGAGGACAGAAGGAGAGTGGCACCGTGCATCAAACACATCATCGTGCCCCCCACGGAGCCCAGGCAGTGGTACAGGGGGCAGGGCATGACCACCCGCAACTCCTCTGGCAGCTAAAGATGGAGACATGAGGCTGAGTCTATCATGGGAGTAGAAGCCCCAGAAGCCAGTTCCTCCAGCCAGCAGGGGGAGCCCAGCAAGCTGTCCCGCTCTGCCCACCTCCCCACAGCCGCCAAGCCTTGCCCCAGTCCAAACCCATCTCACCTTCACATGCATTTTAAGGCGCTGGCCTATCATGTTGGAGTTGTTCACAATGTTGTAGTGGGAGAGGGTGGCCCCCTTGGGGCTGCCTGTGGTTCCCTACGAAGACAAGCAGGTGACACCTTGGCCTGCTTTCCCCCATCTCCTTCCCACCCTCGGCCACTGCCCAGGATCGATGCCCCAGATCCATTTGCTTCTCTGGTATATGTACCAAAGGTCTACCACGCGCAGCATGGGACCAGATGTGGGGATCCAGAAATGCGAACGAGAAGGACTCAGTGCTCATGTCACTCCCATGTGAGTCACGTGAGGAAGCTCAGGGAATTCTGTGGCCCACTAGCCGTGTGGGCTTGGACAAATTCTCTCTCTGGGCCTCAGATTTGCTTCCACTAAAGGAGGGACAAGTTCTATCACTTTAAACTCTGAGCCCTAGTGGTTCAGTAAATCTGTACCACAGCGGGGAGCAGGAGGGCCAGGAAAGGGTCGTGTGACAAGGACACCAGCGATTTTCCAAGGCAGAGCAGAAGGGTAGAGGCCAGTTTCAGGAGAGTGCCTGCTCTCCTGACTTCCTGCGGTCTCCCCATCCCTGGGAAAGGGTCACAGAAGGAGGGGGCATGTGTCAGCTGGGCTTGGGGCCTGGAGACCTCTGCCCTACCGAGGTGAACTGGATGTTGATGGGGTCATGGCAGGACAGGAACTGCTGGGTGTGTCGAAGCTGGGCCAGATGCTGCTCTGTGCTACCAGCTGCCACCACATCATCCAGCAGCAGGGTCCCCGGCAAAGGGTCGTCCACCGAGATGACTGTGGTCAGATCTGGGAGACTGGGGGATAGGGAGGATGGTGAGAAGCAGGGGCTGTGGGTAAGTTAGGGGTTGCTCCAGGGGATGCCAGCCCCACCCCTGGGGCTTGATGGAGGGTAAAGGAGTCAGGGATGCTTCGTGGTGCTCCCCAAATCCAGGATACACTTACCTCTCACTCTTTAAGGCCCCTGGCTGGGCCTTTTCAAGCTCCGGACAGATCTGCTTCAAGATGTTGTAGTATTGCTGGGTCTTGAATTGCTTGGGGAATACGAGGGCTTTGCAGCCCACCTGTGGAAGGGCACCCCCCCCACTTATGATCAGCAGGAAGCCCCAGACTAATCAGCTGCTCTTTTACACATGTGCATCACTACCCTGATGTACGCAAGCACCATCCTCTGACCCACACACCGGCTGCACCTGCATGCACCTGACTCCACAGCAAACACACAACCAGCTCCAGACACCACACCCTGAGACATGGGCCACACACGCAGAGCCACACTGGCCCATGACCACTGTGATACACATGTGCTCCCCAACAACACACACGCCAGCCTTGTGTCTGGCCCACCACCAGAGGCTTGGGTCCTCCTTCCAACCACAAACAGCTGGGGGAGAGACACCCTTGCTGCCTGGCCAGGTCTGGCCCCTGAGCCAGGCACCAGCAGGGGCGCTGAGCTACCTTTTTGAGGACATACTCCAGTTCCATAGCCTGGTAGGCTGGGTTCACAGACACCTGGGGGGAACAAGGAGGGAATGTCTGTCCTGGGCAGCCACTCCACCCTGCAGATGCCCCTCTACTCTCAGAAGGCACGAGGTAGCACACCACCCGGTCTACGTGGTGGGCCTTAAGAGACAGAACTACCTGATCTGAAATCAGCCAGGCACTGGTTTGGTTCTGGGGCCAAGAGGCAGGTGGGTTCCTCTCGAGTGGCATTCCCCCCACAGATACCCCCCTGCACCATGCAAACCTCCTTACCAGAATGATGCCTGCCTGGGCAGTGGCCAACTGCATGAGCACCCATGCATAGGAGTTGGGTCCCCACATGCCCAACCGGTCACCCTTGCAGAGGCCAATGCTCAGAAGACCAGAAGCAGCTTTATCCACCTGGTGCAAACAGATGGATCACAGAGGGTGAGATGGGAGCAAGCAGGAAGGGGCCCATGACTCTCACCCTCAGCCCTTGGCCCAAGGGTTCACATCAGAATCACAAGGAATACCGGGACAGGCAGATTCGCCTCAGTGGAGCTCTGGGTGGAGCTCGAGGTACACACAGTTAACAGTGCTCCAGGAGCTGCTGAGACAGACCATCTCTGCCTCAGTTATGTCTGCTTCTCTTGCTGTCCCTTAGGTCCTCAGGCCACCACACTGCCCATCATCATGTCCCACCCTCCAGCTCCACCCACCCAGGGAAGCCTGGGGACTGGCACCTGCCCCCTTTGAGGGTTCAAGGTCAGGACCCACCTCTTCCTTGAGTTGGGCGAAGTTCAGCCTGACGTTTTCATGGAGGACAACCAAGGCCTCTCGGTCGGGGAACCTCTGTGCTGTGGCATCAAGGCACTGCCCCACAGTCTTGTTGATAAGAGGGAAACTGGTGTGTCCCTGAAGGTAGCTGAAGCCCCCAACGGGCAGAGGGGCGGTGCGTTCCAGCTCTTGGGAGCTGTGGGGAGAGGGTCACGGTCTGAACTGTGCCAAGCTGGCCCTCCCTGCCAACAAGGACACCCAGCACACCCAGCCTGGGGTCAGATTGCCAATGTGTCGGAGCAGAGTTTTCTCTGGATCTTTTTATAAGCCCAGGACACTTCCTGTGACGCTTCCCCAACCTCAAACAAAACCCCAAGGTAGTAGGATGGGGACAAAGCCACCTCAAGTAGGGGACAAGGGTTCTTCCCTCACCTGCCTCACCTGAAGGATAAAGTGCCCCAGGAAGCCTGTGGGAGACCACTTATACACACACAGAGATCTTATGAAGCATGCCTGTACCTATACCCCCAATCCCTGCCTGCCAGGAAATAAAAAGGTCCCTGGGGTTCTTAGGAACCAGTGAAACCCATGCTTGGACCCAGAGTGGGAATCCAGGACCTTGGGTTCTTTGATGGGCCCTTGTTTCTCTCCTCTGGGTCTAAAGTTCAAAGACAGAATAGGCAAAGGGTTTAGGAGGCAGATGGTAGCCCTAGGAACGGTGGTTGGAAAGATCCTGTTATTTGACAGACTGACCAGGTTGCAGCAAGAATCTTCCCTCGGAAAAAAGTCCCTGTGTTCTGAATGGCACCTGGGTTCAGGCTCCCAACTCTCAGGTGACACGGCAGAACAGAGGTAATTGTGACAGGAAAAGAGGGGGAGTATTTGGACCACATGGTGATCTCAGGCACCACAGGGCAACAAGACAGAAGGAGATGGTGCCACAGTAGCAGATGTCCCGTGCCAGGCACAAATGGACTGTCCCTAAAGAGGAAACGCTCATCTCCTCTACGTCAAATATCTAAGGTTACTTTGTTTTTTTAAGGGTTTTATTTATTTGTTTGTTTGTCACACATGACAGCAGAATGCATTTCAATTCGTAGTACACATATAGAGCACAATTTTTCATTACTCTGGTTGTACACAAAGTAGAGTCACACCATTTGTGTTTTTGTCCATGTACCTAGGGTAATGACGTCCATCTCATTCCACCCTCTTTCCTATCCTCATGCCTCCTCCCTTCCCCTCCCTCCCCTTTGCCCTATCCAAAGTTCCTCGATTCTTCCCATGATCCCCCACCCACCCACCTCCATTATGGATCAGCATCCACTTATCAGAGAAAACATTTGGTTTTTTGGAATTGGCTTACTTCACTTGATATGCTCCAACTCCATCCATTTACCTGCAAATGCCATGATTTTATTCTCTTTTAATGCTGAGTAATATTCCATTGTGTATATATGCCACAGTTTCTTTATTGCCTAAGGTTGCTTTAATATACAGTGAGAAACTGATGTGATTCCATTTTTGAAAATAAATAAATAACAGCAGCTTCTACCTCAAGGCCTGTCCTAAGGAAGGGGGTATGACCCTTGTCCTTGGAAAAATCCACAGAGCACTCCTAAGCACATACCCACCCTGCTAAGTTGTTTGTCTACAAATAACAGGAGAGATCTGCAGAGGTTCCAGGTGGCTCTGACTCAGTCAGTCTAGGTGAGGACCCATAGAAACCCCCTAGCAACCACCAATCAACATGAGACAGGGAAAATACCTGGGATGCCAGATGACGCCCCCAATAGTTTATGGTGATTGATAACATGTTGGGAAACCATGTAGTTTAGCATGTAGACCCCTCATAGCCTAAATCAATCAGTTCAAAGGAATCCCCCTCTTGTACTAAACAATCACCCCTACCCAACTTGTTCCCACCAGTGAATGTGCTAATCAACGTTAAGAGCTGTTGTTTGATTTTCCTGCGGTATGGAATGATTTGCTGTGTGATGTTGTGATGCATAGAGTATCCCCCCAAAACCTATAAAATCTCACTGAACAAAGGACCGGGACTCACTCCTTGGGACCGCTACGTCAGAAACAGTTGTGAGTCCAGGCTCGAGCTTGCAATAAAGACTCTTGTGTGATTGCATAAGATTCGGTTCCTGGAGGTCTACTGGAGTCCCAGGAATCTGGCATTACAACAGAAATGTATTTGGGGAGCTGGGGTTGTGGCTCAGTGGTAGAGAGCTTGCCTAGCATGCATGAGGCACTGGGTTCGATTCTCGGCACTGCATACAAATAGATAAAACAAAGGTCCATCAACAAATAAAAAAAATACTTAAAAAAAGGAAAATGTTATTTAAAAAAAAGAAATGTTTTTTGAAAGACATATAAGTGAGAATTATGAATTCCCTTCTCCTCCTGGTAAGGAAGCTGAAGGGCAAAGAAATCAGATGCCTGCAGGGATGGCAAATAACTGAGCTGAGGCAGGGAATTCAGTGGAACTTCAGCTGCCTCAACACCTACAGCCAGGTCTGCCACCCTGATCCAGGGAGGAGGCATAGGGAGGGGCAATTCCTGCTCTTTCCACTTTGAATTTATTCCCTGTCTGACCATCAGAGACTATCTGGTCTCAAATTTTATTTATTCCACAAAATATTTATTTTTTTCTACTAGCTGATCCCAACACATAGACTAGAGTAGACCCTGGCAGAAGGGAGACAGGTGGCTCCTCCAGAGAGTTAAAAGAGTTCTAGAAACTCCTATCAATGCAATTTGCTCATAAAGGTAGGAACCACCCCTGTCATTTAGTCATTTCAAAAGCTGATTCTCCTTCCCTGGCCAAACCTCAATCACCTGGGGCCAGATAGGCAGCCATTTGTTTTTCTGTTTTTAAAGAGAGCTGGGGAAGTTCCTCTCTCAAACAAATGTTTTGTGGTTTTCATTTTTGTCATTTTGTTTTGTTTTGGGGTGTGGAGGGAGGGAGCTTAAGGAGTTGGAGGAGGAGAACCAGCAGACCTTGTTGGTCTCAACTCACAAAACTAAAGTCAACAACCTTTCATGCGGCCATCAGCTGCTTAGATTGGGGAGGCCTTCCACAGCCAGATGGGACTGAAGCCAGGAAAAAGACAAAGCCCAGCCCCACCCAATGCTGCCCTTAAGACAGTTGGCCCAGATCTTATTTTATAATCGAGAAGTTGGGAACAAGGAAATTTGGGGATAGCAGTCGGTGGGTACTGGAAATTCAACCCAGGGGCTCTCTACCACTGAGCTACACTCCCAGTCCTTTCTTATTTCTTATTTTGGGACAAGGTCTTGCCAGGTTGTCCAGGATAGCCTCAAACTTTCAATCCTCCTACCTCAGCCTCCCCAGTAGCTGGGATAATAGTTATGTACCACCACATCCAGAGAGGCCATTTTTTAAAACTTTTTTTTTAATTTGTTCTTTTTAGACTCCATGTATGTATAATATACTCCATGTATGTATAATTTTGACTATTATACATACATGGAGTATAACTTCCAATTCTTGTGGTTGTACATAATGTGGAGTTACACTGATCGTGTATTCATATGGATATAGGAAAGTGATGTCCAATTCATTCTACTGTCTTTCTTATTCCCACCCTCCTCCTTCCCCCTTCATTCCCCTTTGTCTAATCCAAGGGCTTCTATTCCGTCCCCCCCATTGTGTGTTAGCACCTGCACATGACAGAACATTCGGCCTTTGATTTTGGGGGATTGGCTTATTTCACTAAGATTGATAGTCTCCAGATCATCTATTTACCAGCAAATGCCATAATTTCATTCTTATTTATGACCAAGTAACATTCCATTGTGTATATATATATGCCACATTTTCTTTATTCATTTATTTGGTGAAGGGCACTTAGTTTGTTGATTCCATAGCTTAGCTATTGAATTAAGTTGCTATAAACATTGATTTGAGGCTACTGTATTGAACTCAGCTCCTGCACTGGGCTCCAACTGACCAGACTGAAAATCAAAATGGAGTCACCCAGGCTGAAGTTCCACATTGTCAAACAAAATGAAGCCATTTATATGAACTTTCAGGATACCAGGAAAAAAATGAGAAAACAGCCTAATTTCCCACAGGCCAGTTTCAATCAGCGTGATAATGATCCTCACTCAAAATATGGTAATCTAAAGTAATCTAATCTTAACCCATCAGCTATTTTTCTGCAGTTCTATCTCCCTCTCCTCAGTATACAAGGAAAGTAACTTTGAAATTTGTTCTTTGTTTTTGCTTTCCCTTCTCTGTCTATAAGCCCAACCTCTTTGGCTCAGTCCATTACAACATTTCCTGTATTTTAGAGAAAGTAGTTGAAGCAGACTCCCTCTGAAATGAGGGGCAACTTTCTGATAACTTGTTTTGTTGTTGTTGTTGTTGTTATTTGTTTCTCTTTCTTTCTTTCTTTCTTTCTTTCTTTTTTTCTTGCAGGATTGGAAACAGCCCCTTTTGAAATTAGAGCTCCAAACTGATTTAACTTCTGAACTTCCTCCACTGGCTGAGAACAGACCAAGGAAACTGAAAATGACCAGTTCCCTGGCTGACTAAATCTGCTGATGTCTATTTCCTGTCTTTTGTTGTACTTTGCTGTCATTTCTATTCTAAAAGCCGGCCTCATCTTTGAACTCTCTGAAGATGGAGATTGAGATAGAAAGCCTCCTCTACTTTCCTTCAAAGACAGTTTTGAATAGATTGTCTTCCTGCCAAGCTGACTCCCCCGAGTATTTGTGAGGTACAACAAGCAGTAAAGCTCTTGCCCCGCATATAACATAGAGTTCCTGGATTCTAGGACTGAAAATAAAGCCAACTACAATGTTTAAACTAGCCAGGCTAGTGGCATGCGCCAGTAGTCTCAGCCACTTAGGAGGCTGAGGCAGGAGGAACGCTTGAGCCTAGTAAATTTAGAACTCATTTACTATGTGGTTAAGGTGCCTCCTCTAATCAGCGTATTTCCTGTGAGATTTGTTCTTGTTATTCTCCTCCTCTTTTGTGAATTAAAAAAGAAACATCTGGGGCTGGAGTAGTGGCTCAGTGGTAGAGCGCTTGCCTGGCATGTATGAGACTCTGGGTTTGATCCTCAGTACCACATGTAAGTAAATAAATAAAACAAAAGATCTGTTGGCCACTAAAACAATATATATATAAAACAAGCATCTATTTGTGTGACAATACAC